GGGGTACGGAAAAGAGGAGGGGGCTGTGTTGTTTGTTTTTAAACAAAGTGTGCGCATGCACCGTTGGGTGCTTGTGCGCATCCCGTGGAGACTTGGGGGGGGAACCTTTTAGCAACAGGACATGGGCGGGCGCTGGATGCCACGACCTACCACCGAAAACACGATCAGGCGCCCGCCCTTGCCCCATGGTTTCCGGAAACTAGTACCTTGAAGGTACTAGTTTTTTACCCCGCATCTTCAGTGGGAAGCCTCGGGTTCGCCACGGGAGCTCTACGCTTCCCAGATGTGGTGCTGTGATCGCGCCCAGAAAATCCGCCTATCCTCCGTCTCTGTAGCGTGGCTAATGCTCCGTGTGACCGCAGCCCAAATTACAAAGCTTGCATAATTTTATCAATTTATTTATAGTTTCAGCATGTCCTTATATCTACACTAAAAAGCCAGACTAAAATGCCCCAGTCTCCATTTCTTGGGGGGTGGGGAATGTTTACAGTTTAAAAGTTACAGCCTTACATAAATAGCTACAAAGCAAATAAACTGTTTCTATACTAAGTAAGTGGGGACTCAAAAAAAGATGCTGCAGATGTTTGCTACTCTCACCTACGCCTTAAATTCAGTTTTACAGAAACTGCAGCACAGGTTGTGAATTATGAAGTCAACAGGTAGCAAGCAAAAAACAACCTGTAGCATTCTGTTGCAAAGTCACAAATTCCTTTTGTCCTCTTTTATGTGTTTTTGATCAGTTCCCCATGCCTCTTCCCTTCCTTTCCCCTAAAACAGGGGTGGCCAAACTTGCTTAATGTAAGAGCCACATAGAATAAATGTCAGATGTTTGAGAGCCGCAAGACATGAATAAATATTACATGTTTTTACTGGGAAATATGCAAATTTGCTTTTTATTAACATTAAATGAGACTGACAATAATAATAATAAGAGCAGCAAAACCTGATATTGATAATGATATTTATTTGTCCAATTATATTTGTTTGCTAATTATATTTCGCTTTCCCAGCCGCCCTGCTGGGAGCTACACAATGTGTGAAAGAGCCGTTATTCGGCTTTCGAGCCAGTTTGGCCACCCCTCCCCTAAACTCTGCCTTCTCTATCCTCATCCACACTGTTACTGATTCCTTGTTTTTCTCACCGTTATTAGACCTCTCCACAGCACTTCCTGATTCTCTTCCTCCCTAGTGTTCCTGTACCCCCCCTACCTTTACACAGTTCATCTGTTATATTCCTTCTTACCATCCTCCTCCCTCCAACTCCTTTTTATCCTTTAACTTCTTCAGGCTGTTCTTTGCCTTTAACTTCCTGTCTCCTATTAATGCCCCCAATGCATCATTATGCCCTTCTGCCAATTACCCCACGTTCCTTCCTTTCCATATCCATCACTGGTGCTGCAGAGGTGCTTGAAAGATGCTCTTGTGGCAGAATGGTCACCTGTACATCACTCATTCACCAGCCTAGGGACCAGGCACGTGGCTTGCCACCATTCAGCCTTGGTACAATTCAACAGAATGAAGCTATTTTAGGAGTGAATGGGAAACTCATTTTATGCATGACTGGGGTTCCCCCTTGTATGAGGAAGCCTTTCTCCCTTTTGTACCTGTAACTTTTCACTTTCTGCACAGAGAGCAGGACTTTAGTATTCAGAGATAATTCAAGAAGGGCCTAATTAAAAGGTTTCATGTAATACCAGTATAAAAAATATAGCTTCTTTAGGGGTGATCAGGAGTAAAATGTACAGTTACCGAACACAGAGATTACAGCTGGATTTAGGGTTGTAATGGCCAAGGTATGCATGAGCTTTACCCAGAGGCAATGGGGCTGTTACCCAAACACCTACAACAGCTGGTACTTCGTAGTCTCCTTGTGCAACTTTTGACTAGTTCTTAGTCTGGAAGGGTACTAACCCCCCCTCTCCCTTTTAAAGATGAACACATGATCAAGAGCAGCTAGATACTAAGAACTTTGTGCCAGAAGTCCCGCATTCTTGAAGTTAGAGACATGCACTAGTTTTAACACCCCCTTTTTATCCCATGAACCACAGAGTGGCAACTCCAGATGAAAATGCAAGATAAAGTTTATTTTCCAACATAACAAACCTAGAGAATTATGCAGGCTTGTAGAAGGACTCTGCAGAAGGACTCTCAAGTCAGTTAAGATGCTGCTGCCGCCTCTTCCTTTTGTTCAATGCGCTTCTTTCTAACCAGAAGGCGTCTCTCCCGTTCAAACTCTTTCATGCGCATGACATAGCTATGGGAGAACAGACAGGTACAGGTCACACTGTGGGGTATTTTACCTAGCGGTTCTTAACATTTAATCCACAACCATCCCCAAGTACAAAAAACGACCTCTATTAATATATTTTCTCTTTTCGCAGCTTACCAAAAATGAAATAAATACCCCAGTTAACAGGTAATAGACAAAAACAGTTATAGAAATCTGTCTCAAAAAGACCACCCTCCTTATGAAATCAACTGTAAAATGCCTACCTAAACATAATGGCCTTACATTTCTTAATGGAAGGCAGTCAGCACAATGCTGGTGCTGCCACTGACAAAGAGGAGTCTGCCCTGTGCCTGAATGGATATAGCACAAAGAGAGGGCTCAAGCAGGGACCAGCCACAGGAGCATCTATCTGAGTGCCCATCAGACTCATAAGTAAAAAATTAGGACATAAAAACAGCATTTCAGAGAAGGAAACCGTATAGTTAAATCTGATATATGCATATGTTACAGAGTCACCTCCTTAATATGAGGCTTGATCTGCATTTGCTGTGTGCCACTTTTTAAGGACCCGAGAGAGAGAGCTGGGAGGGTGGACAGAATAAAACTATCCTTGGCTGGTTGTCAGAAGCCACTGCAAGTGGTGAAAAGGGACTGCCTAAAAATCCCAATTGCTCGCCCCATTTGTCCTTCACATTTCTGAATACTTTACAGGATCTGTAAGTGTCCACTGAAGAACCACTAATGTAATCCCTCCTGCCAAACCATCCCATTATTAGGACCAGCAAGTGTGTTAAACTGAATTCCACATGATAAATTACCCCACATGCCACATTTTATAGTCTGGAACCCAGACAAGCTTTAAGAACATGGTGTTAGATATCCAGTTGATGTCTTCTTCTCAAGTCTCTGCTACTGATTTAAGTAAGGCATCCTTTGTTGTATCCTTGCAAGTGATAGGAGAAAATAAATTACTGTCTCGAATACTGGCAAGCTGATTTTACAGACCTGAAATGAATGCCCCCTCCCAAACAGAGCAAAGAAGCCAGTCCAGGTTCAGTATTAAAGCATAGCTGACAGAGCATCATAACACAGTTTCCTTTTATCTCACCCAACCACACCACAGTGTTTGTGACAATACCCTTCACCACCCCACTTCTTCTACCAGGTCTTGCTGCATTCTACATGGTAGGAGAAAGTTAATCTCTAGGCAATACACAAGTGGTGGTAAGACATTTCTAAAGGTAAAGGTAAATAACTGCTCGAAAGCCAGTCGAATCCGACTCTAGGGTTGCGGTGCTCATCTCCGTTTCAAAGCCGAAGAGCCAGCACTGTCCGAAGACGTTTCCGTGGTCATGTGGCCGGCATGACTAAACACCAAGGCACACAGAACGCTGTTCTTCCCACCGAAGCAGTACCTATTTATCTACTTGCAATTTCTTGCTTTCGAACTGCTAGGTTGGCAGGAGCTGGAACTAGAGACGGGAGCTCACTCTGTCATGCGGCACCCGGGTCTCGAACTGCTGACCTTTCACAGCCTGCAGTTCAGCGTTTTAACCACTTGAGCCACCACAGCTCCTAAGACATTTCTAGACTGCCTCAAAAAAGAAGCAGGTGTGTAGGGTTGCCACTTACTCTATGTGCTCGCAATAATTCCAGTCATGGCGCTCATGTTTGCATGCAAAGATATTGGGGAAATGGTCACGCTTGCATTTCATCAACTTGATGAGATGATGGGCACAATAATCCCGCTCCTCAAGAGGAAGCCGGGCATCGTTCATCTGCTGCTGTGTCGCTATCATCACTGCATAAGAAATTGGAGGGAAGAAAATGGTCAGAAGCAAGGCCAAGGCAGCTCTTCATCAGCATCAACTACTTCACTTCCATTTTTGCTAAGGAATATAATTCTGCTTGTTTCATAAACTAGTTAAACTGCCTTGTCCTATTAAAGCTGATAGGCCCCTGCCAGTTAAAATCCAAAGTACTCCAACTTAATAAGGGTTGTTGATGGGAGTTGCAGCAAGCAGTGCAAAGATGCAGAGTTCTAAGGCTGGAGCGGCATGCCTTAAGCATCGCAAGTGTGCCATTACCATTCTCTGTTTACAGCATGGGTTATCTCATGCCACCTGCATTGCTGCCCACTACTGATGAACAATGTATCTATGTAGCTTTCTCATTAATATGGAGCAGTGATGCAAAAGTCTGAAGAACACACTAGCCACACAAACACCTCTGAATATTTGGACCCCAATACATATTAATATGTACAATGTTAATTGCAGGATGCTTCTAGCACACACTGGCACATGTGAACGTAATGGTCCATAGATGCCATTGTACACTTTTTCACAGTAGCTAATGAAATGATTCCAGGAAGCTTACAAGCAAAGGATGATGGGATTAACTTCTCCATGCTGTTCCAACTCCTAACCACCTCCAAGCAATTGTTATTCAGAGCTATATTCCCCGATTGCAAAGATTTCATCTAGACATATTGGCTAAGAGAGACTGACAGACCTAATTGTACTGGATAAAGGAGGACATATGAAATGGCCGCCTAGCTCAGTACTGTCTGCTCTGACACTCAGCAGCTCTACAGGGTATTAGGAAAACACAGGTATTTCTCTACATCCGCCAGAGACTCAACACAGGGTTACCTGCATCAACTCAGCCAATCTTGGTAAGGGTAAGGATAGAACAGAAGCACTATACAGAAGCCCACTTTGTCAGCATGAAGAGGAGTCTTGTGCCATCTAAAAGACCAACATGTTTTTATACTTACTTAGGCTTGGATAGCCCAGGCTAGCTTGATCTCATCAGATCTTGGTGGCTAAGCAGGGCTGGTGCTGGTTGGTATTTAGATGGGAGACCTCCAAAGAATACCAGGGTTATGACACAGGAGCAAGCAATGACAAACCACCTCTGAACATTTCTTGCTTTGAAAACTACAGGGTCACCATAAATCAGCTGGGACTTAACAGCCAAAAAACAAACAAACAAGCTTGTAGTCTATAGCACCCTAGAGGCCAACAAGGTTTTGGGTGTACAAAACTTCCATTTATCCAGTACATTTTTACCCTATCCTCCTTCCAAGGGGCTTGCATGATTCTTCTAACACATTTTTGTCTCACAACCCCATAATGTAGATGACACTGAGTCAGAGAGACAGGAGCAAGAACACTTAATGACCTTCACTGCATAATAGAATATATTATATACACACAGACATATTTATGAACGTGTGGGGGGGGGGGGGGAGAACAGCCAGATGAAAAGGCTACGAAATCCCACTAAATTCCTGGTTATTTTTGCTGCAACGTATTTTCACAACGATGCCTCTGGAAAAATTATCACTGTAGGCAAACTGTGTCTGTAGGCTTGTAGGTGGGCATCTGGGACACATAGATGATGCCGTAGGAACACTCCAAGCCGAGGGTGGAAACCTCCAACAGGGAAAATGTTTTCCGCCGTTGTAGCCGTTCATCACTTGGCCAGTTACCCGGCCGGGGCTGGAGTGGGGAGGACCTTTGGTTAGGGTCACGGGCCGCACAAGGTGAAGTCTTCGAGAAGAAACAGGAAGGGCTGCTGGACGGAGCGACACTACCAAGGTGACCTTGCCCTCTTCCCCCTACGATCAGCTCACCCCGTTCCTTGCGTTCCGGAAAGCCATACTGGGGGTCGAAGGTCGGCATTTTGAGCGGATCAGGCTCTACTTCGGCATCCCAGAGGTACCAACGCGCCAAATGAGCTCCCCTCTATTTGCAATCTCCGACGCTTCCGCAGCTGTTTCTCAACACCGCACCATTCCCCGCCCACCACCGGAACCGGAAACAACTCTTGAGTCCATAGAGCCACACAAGGAGGAGTCATACACATCCTGAACTTCCGCTAGAAACCGCAAAGCGGCCATTGGCCCTTATTGTTGATGACGTCGTTCTAGGCTTTCACATTTCTGTGGTAAAGCGCTATTGGGTTGGAATTTAGAGACGAAAACTCGTGCAGTTTTATATCAGAAGTCCCGATGCGGATGGCGTGAGCGCGCGTTTTTAAAAAGGAGCTGCGCTGGAGCTGTGTTCTCTTGTCTGAAACGAATAGGGAGAAAAGCCTGGTTTATTATTTTAAGCACAAGGTTAAGGCCATTATCATGCTGGCAGGATTGGTTGGCAACCATCAGGGGGAGACCAAACTCAGAGAGTCTGTTTTGGCTCTTCTGGTCTAAAACGAACTGGTTTTCTACTATCTGACAAAGGGAGTTTTGGCTTTCAAAAGCTTATATCCTAGAAATGTTGTTGGTTTGTAAAGTGCTACTGAACTAGTGTCTTGTTCTTCTACTGCATACCAGCACATCAAAGCGCCTGAAACTAGTTCTACTGTAAATCCCAATGCAAAGCATATAACGTTTTCATTGTAGCAATGCAAAAGCTTAGAGCAATGTATCAATGTCAACAATGATATCAATAGCTGTTTTTAGTTTTGTTCTGAAGTTCAGGATGTACCCACGATGATGACTCTCTTACCTCTAGCTTAGGTTATGAGATTTGACAGTTTGAGAAGGGGTTAAAGAATGTTGACAAGAGCAAAGAAATGAGCTTTGACTGATAATTACTGAGTTTGATTAATGGAGTGAGAATCGTAGCCACAAGTGAAAGTAATGTGTGGGTGGTGGGTTTACAAGGATTCCAACAACCACCAAAAGGAGGGAAGAACAAATAATAATTAATAATTATCGTATGGCAGTGTGTGTTGTATAGCCAAGAGATCTGAGGATTGTCTGGCAGCTGATGTTCTAACTTTTCAGAGTTATGCACCACTAAAGTGGTGAGCTAGACGTCAGTGGACTGAGAGACCTCTGAGAGCTGAGACTGCCCCAAGGTCACCCTGCTGGCTTCATGTGGAGGAATGGGGAATCAAACCTAGTTCTCCAGGTTAGAGAACACTAGTCTTAACCACTATAGCAAACTGGCTCTCACAGAAGAAAGAACAAGTAACTTAGAAGTGAATTCTGCTTTGTCCAGTCTTTTTAAAAAAACTTTTTATTTTTCTTTTACAATACAAACTATAACATTATCAAACAAATATAACAACAGTGTAAGGTAAAGACAGTAAGATCTGTAAACAATACAACAGTGTTAAAGAAACACTGTAGTAGCTTGCTGTTAAAGTCTAGTTTGATTTAGTCAAAAAGAGGTATCAGTTCTATGGAAAGGGGGACTATAATATAAGGAAGTTGGCTGGATAAGCAATATTGATGCATTTTTCATTGTTAGATATATACTCTAGAACAGGGAACCATTGCTCCAAAAAGTGAGGTTGATAGAGATCAGGATCGGTGAAATTTTGTTGGATATCTTTTCCATGGTATAGTGATCCCATACCCTTTTATACCACGAGGTAATTGAAGGGAGTTTAAAGTCTTTCCATGATGCAGCAATTGTGGTTTTTGCTGCTGCCAACAGGATGGCTATCAAGTTTCTATACTTTTTGGTATATTATTAGTCTGCCAGAGGTTTAATACAATTAATTCTGGTCTCATAGGAAGTAAATAACCTGTAATTTGTTTAATTTGAATCAAAATGTTATGCCAGGATTTATGTGGATACAATGCCACCAGCAGTGCAAATATGTGCCAATTTCTCCACGTTTCCAGCATAGTGGTTGAGTTGATGGGTTCATGTGCTTCTGTCCCTCTAAGCTGTAGAATCATTCTACTTTATGCTGTGACCCAGCAATTTGGCTACTGCATAAATTAGTTTGCTCTGAAGCCATCCTTCCTGAGCTAAGGATGCGGTCACGCGCACGAGATAAAGCGCGGGGGGGAGCGAGGCTATTTTCTCCGGAGGAATTTGACCTACACTTGCACGATCACATAGTCCTTGGAAGCTGCGGGCACAGCCCGCCACTGTGTGATCAGACGCAACTGCGGGTGAGCTGGGGGGGGTTGCTGTTTGTTTTTGATGTGCTTAAATGAGGAATCAATGAATTGCATCTCTGCACTGAGGGCTCCCTATGGAGTTTGTGATGATGCACATACTGAGAAGGGGGGGAGAAACGGCACGTAGTCAGGACGGCCTGATCAGACCATCCCGACGCCATGAGAGTGCGCTGGAGCAATCAGACAGGGGAAAGTCCATCCGTGGCCCGTCGCAATTCATTTACTATTGGATTTTCCCCGAGGTCTTTTACCTCCACTTCTGCGACAGAGCAGAACGGGTTGCTGACAGCTATGGGGCACTTCCCAGATGTTGTCTGATTGCACCCTTTAAATCCGCCTGGCATTCATGCCTATGGTGGGTCTAATTGTGTGTATGATCACAGCCTAAGACAAAAATATGTGAGCTGGAGGCTAAAAAAACTGTCAGCTAGCTCACACTAAGTTTAGAGGGAACACTGTCCATGTGATCTAATGTACTAGCATGTAAGCATTTTGATAGACTGTGTCCTAATATTTATTGATTTGGTAGTAAAAATATAGGAGCGCCAAATTTTGGACCAGTGTGATTCCGAAAAAGTAATATTGGCCCCAGTCAGGAAAATGCGGGGGGGGGGGAAGCGGGGCTGTGTGCCCCCGCAGGGGGGGGGGGGGGAGCGTGGCTGTTTGCCCCGGAGCAAAATAACGCGCGGTTGCATGATCAGACATCCCGTCGAGGTCCCGTGTTTAGGGGGAAGGTGCCGATCACACGACCATCCTGCAGCGCGATCACACTAGCAATCACTAGGTGCCGATTCCATGGCAAATGGGATGGATTTTTTAAAAAACTGAAGTTTGCGCGTTCACATGACTGAGCAATCGTATCTGCACATTCGTAGGCGGGTGGTGGGCTTACCGGAGAGGGCGACAGACACTTCCGGACTCCAACAGAGCTCCGAGGCATAGCCAATGGAGGGGGAGGTAGGCCCCCTCATCACAGCCGCTCTAACCGCCTGCGCGACAGTGGTCATAGTGACCCTTCAGAGGCGGCAAGCCTGGCTGCAGTGGGAGAGGGCCTTTTGTGCACATGCGCCGTAGTACCTCGGAGGTACTAGTTTTTTACCCCGCATCTTTGGCGGGAAGCCTCGGGTTCAGCATGGGAGCTCTACGCTTCCCAGATGTGGTGGTGTGATCGCGCCTGGAAAATCCGTCTCTGTAGCGTGGCTAATGTTCCGTGTGACCGCAGCCATTACAATGTTTGCCAAGCTTTCATATAGTAAGGAGGTTTCGAAGCATCAATAGAGATTAACATTCTATATAGTCTCAAAATGAGACCTATATAGTTAGTTTTCCAGGTTTTATATGATTTGTGATGTTCACGAGGTTTGAACCACTTTTGGTCTAGAAAATGAGTGAGTGGGGAAATAGGTGGGGCTGATTTTGACCTCCTCCTATCCCAAATTTGTATCCTATCCCAAACAAGTTGCTTTTAATGTATGTTGACGTATCAGAGGGTTTGTTCCAAATAAGAACATAAGAGATGCCAGTGTTGGATCAGGCCAAAGGCCCATCCATTCCAACACTCTGTCACACAATGATACCAGTGCCATCAGGAGGCCCACCAGTGGGGCCAAGACACTAGGAGCCCTCCCCTCCCACTGTTGACCCCCCCCAAGCACCAAGAAGACAGCATCACTTGCCCCAGAGTCCCTATCTATACCTTGTGGCTAATAACCACTGATGGACCTCTGCTCCATATCTATATATCTAATAGCGAAAGGTGCCCCCTGCGTGCGGATACCTAAATCTGCGCATCGGGGGCACCTGGGGGGGGGAGGGAGATTTTTGTGCACACTTGGGGCAGTCCCCAGGTGTGCACAAAAATCTAAAAACACGGGAAAAAAACACTCGGGCCTCGCTTTGGGGGCGGCGG